TTGAAACCCCTGATTTGTAGCCAAATCAGCAGTGTGAGTAACCTGGGCTCCCTCTACTTGCGATTGGCATCTGAAATTGGGGGCAGTTTTGTGGAACTGAGCCCTTAACCTGTGGGTTCTGTACTAACTCCATGTAGTTAACTGTCAGCTTGAATTAGATTGTAGGACACCTAGTTGGTTTCCAGAGAACTGAATTGCTTGGTGTGAAAAGCATGGCATTTGATGTGAGAAGAGTTGTTAGCGAACTCAGGTCCGGCTGCTCGCCCCCTTGAAAAGGAAAGAAACAAAAGATTCAGAAGTCAAATGGTTGGTGTTAGAAAAGCAGATGTATTCAGCTGGAGGAGATGGTAGGCTATCCCATCTCAAAGACTGAGATTTACTGAGGAGTTTTTAAAGGCGGGATTGAGGGAATGGAGTGTGGGAGGTGAAAAGCAAGAGGAGAGAAGGAGACGTGAGCTATGCGAGGTCCATGTCTATGAGTCAGGTACAAAGTCTCAGCCAAGTCCTCGTCTGGTTTCTGTTCTCATCTTTGCTGTTATCTCAGGACCCTGCAAGATTTTGATTTGCACCAGTGTACTTGGTTGGTGCCCAAGGTCAGCTTCCAGTCATTTTGCCTTGATCATTTCTCAAAACTCTACAAGTCTCAAAGAAAGAACTGTTAGGTTTGCAAAGTACTAATTAGCTTCTCAGCCTTGTTTTCCTTTTTAGCAAGAAAGATAAGAAAGTTAGGGGATGAGAAAAGAGTGGAGAAAGAAAACGACTGTCCTTTGTAAAATCGCCCCCTCCCCCCAGCAACCCAGGCGGTTATAGGTCCCAACATGGCCTCACTCCTGCTCACTCCTACAATATGAGTAGAGAAATGGTTTTCCAGTAGAGGGTGTTTCTCAATGAAATTAACATTTGAATGAGTAGACTGAGTAAAGCAGATTGCCCTCCCAAATGTGGGTGGGCTTCATCCAATTAATTGAAGACGTGAATAGAACAAAAAGGCTGACCTTCTCAAGAGTAAGAAAGAATTCCTTTTGCCTAACTGCTTGAGCTTGGACATTGGTCTTTTCCAGCCTTTGGACTCAGACGAGAACTACACATCAGTTCTCCTGGATCTCCTAGCTTGTCAACTGCAGATCTTGGCACTTTTCCGCCTCCATAATTGTGAGCCAATTCCTTATAATAAATCTCTTTATATACATACCCACACCCGCACATCCTATTGGTTCTGCTTCTCTGGAGAACCCTAATACAGAAGCTATACTCATCAAAATTTTGTCTAGCTTTAAATCTGAAAAGGCAACTCACAACCAAGTCAGCAGAGTAGAATGAAGTGAAATGTACTAGATATCTGCTGACAAGTCCAACTGATAAGACGGTATAAAGGACTTCTTAAAAAGGTCTGTTATGAGGATCTCACTGTGGGCAATCAAGAAGAAAAGCAAGCATAAAACAAATATGTCTACAACTATAGAAACTAGTCTTTTACTTCTGGCCAAGATGGAGTAAAGAAACTGTTTACCCTTCTGCCTGAAACAACTAAAAGGCTGCAAAAATATATGAAACATTGGTTCTCAAAACAGTGGATATCAGGCAATGAGGGCCAGTGACCCCTGAGAGATGAAATGAAGTGAACCCTAAAATTGGCCTGGGCCTGCCAGGCCACAAAGCAGCAAGGGAATACAGGCAGAGGCTGGGGATCTCCCTAATTTGAGGAAATGAAGTTGGGAGTCTAGGGAGAACAAGGCAGCTAGACTTTGCAGGGCAAATACTGGAGAAAAGAGCTGCACAGGGAACTCTGCAGCAGAGTACTGATCAATGCACTTACGTCAGGAAACTACCCGGGGCAGGGAGAGCACCACCACAGGGGATAAGATGGGAAATCAGAGGTTCACAAAGAGGTGGGAATAACACCTGCTTCCACCAGCCAGAATGGAAAAGCTCAGAATTCACAGGGCATTGCGTATTCAGAGGGTTCTGCTTCAGGAGTGAAGAAAAACTAGCCCTACTGAGATAGAAGATGCTCAGTTTCCCTGGGTTCGGGTTTCAGAACACCCCTCTGGGTTTCAAGCTACTTCCTGAGGTCTCAGGCCCCTTCTGCAGGCCCTCCCTTAGAGGAGTTACTTTTGCTAGTTAGACCTATTTTCAGCACCAACATGCCAGGAATTGAGACCTCAGGGGGCTGACTTATGCAAATCCAATGGCTGTGCATGTTCAGTAGAAAGGGGTTATAAAACTAATAGCCGAACATGCTCAGTAAAGAGGAATTTATATTCATTAGGTAGTATGAGTATGTATTAAATAGTGAAACTATAGAAGTTGAATCCTGGCGGAAGGTGGGGTGGTTGCTCACTCTACTGAAGCCAACCTGCACTTTGCCTGAGGTGTGTATTTTTTTCTTTTTGTATCAAATTTGCCTTTAGCAGGCTGCTATTCACTCTGGGGCCAGCCAGCTCTATCTGTAAATGTGTATCTCTTACGTTTGTGTTAAACTTGGTGTGAGCCAGGCCATACTCTCTCTGTGGTCTGTATCTCTTATTCATCACGTTAAATCTGTTCTCACTTTCCACTGTGACTGCCCTTGAATTCTTTCCTGTGGCACAGTCAAGAACCTGGTGAGAGGACAGGGTGGGCTGTCAGACCTTCCCAGAACTCTTCCTCCTCCAGCATCACTACCAAGTTTAAAAGTAAGACCTAAAAGTATCAAACTGATTCTAAATAACTTAATCCCACCCCAGGACAAAGCTCAAGAAAATTTATAGGAATATATATAGAAACATCCAGCACCCAACAAGGTAAAATTAACTTTTTTTCTATTTTTTGGAAGAGTTTGTGGAAAATTAAGATTGTTTTCTAAAATTCTGATAGAACTCACCCCTAAGTCCATCTGGGGCTGTTTCTTTTTGAGAAGATTTTAGACTCCTTACTGAACTTCGGCCACAATATCTTAAAGAATATAATTGAGGAAATTGGCCCTCTTGTCCAAACATACAGCAGGGACTTATGAAGTTATAATTTTGACAGTTTGGTACTGGCACAGGAATAAAGGAAATGACAGATGGAACAGAACAGAGAGCCCAGCACAGACTCATACTTGATATACAGAGAAACCTGACATATAAAGACCCGTGGAGATCATGGAAGAAAAGTACAATAAATGAGGCTTGAATAACTGATCATCCACAAGGGAAAAAAATTAGATTCCTGCCTTACATCTAGCATACATACACACAATTCTCAAATTGAACACCTACATGTGAAAAGCAAAATTGTCAACAGTTACAAACAAATTTTATAGTAGAGGAAAATGAATGGCGAACAAACGTGAAAAATTACTGACCTCATGAGAGGTCAGGAAAATGCAAGTTTTAAAACAACAATGAGATCCTGTTTTACACATGCTAGACTGGTAGTAAAAACACAAGGGGAAATACTGCTCAAGAGAATATCACCATTTTGGAAAATAATTTGGCATTATTTTGTAAAGTTAAAACTGACAAGCCCTACGACCTGAGAAGTGCACCCCCACGTATAACATCTCTTGCACTGGTGTACTAGGAGACATATTCAAGAATATTTATGTTAGTACCATTTCTATCAACAAAAACTAAAAACCAGACGTCAACTGACAAGGAATGAATACTTAAGTTGAGGTATACTCACACAGTGGAATACACCAACTAAACTAACCATACACGTGAACACAAGAATGACTTAAACACAAACTTATAGAAGTAAGCTGAATAAGGCTTCACGTTAAGATGCTATGTATATAAAGCTTTAAAATTACAAAATCAAACAAACAGTATATTAGGGGAATATACATGTGAGATTTAAAAGAGGCAAAGGGGGCTGGCCGGTTAGCTCAGCTGAAGGCAAAGGAATGAGCAATAAACACAATAATGGTCAGGGGAGAGAGGCAAGGAGAGAAGAAAGGGAGCACACATGTATATGTGTAACAGCCAGAACAGAAGTGACTCCACTTTGTTAAACTTCTCAATTAAAAAGGTTTTTTTCTTACTCTTGTAACCCGAATCCACATAGCTTGTAGCGGGACATTAGAATACAATGATTCTTGTTCACACAACTGCTAGAACTTAATGATTTTTGTTCACACTGTACACAGAATTATAGAAGAAATTATTAATGCAGGTGGCCATTCTTTACTAGCTTACTAACTAGATCTTTTTGAGGTTAACAGGAACTGAATCCATGACTTGACTTCATGGAGGATGGTCACCATGAATCAGCTCCCACCTGAGAAGTTCTTTGATGTTCATCTGCAATCTTAGGATTATGTTCACACGTCCCTGCTTAGATCACCATGAATCAGCCCCCTACCACCTGTCCCTATAAAACCCTTGGGCAAGTCTGGGAAAAGTAGAGATGGTCTTTGAGACATAAGTCCACCATTTCCCCAGGCTGCTGGCTTCCTGATAAAAGGCCACCTTTCCTTACACCAACACTTGTCTCTCAATTATTGGCTACTGAGCAGTGCGCAAACAGACCTTTGGGGTTTAGGTAACAAGTAATTGGAAGCTTTCTAAGTCTTTAGTTGGGTGGATGAGTTTGAATGTTAATTTTATTACGCTTTATACCTTACCTGTTATATGTAATTTTTTCTATGTGTTATTACAATATGTAAAAAGTTCTTTAGAGAGGCCTTCCTGGTAGTGACTTAGTAGGATGGTGGAAAAGGACCATTTCCTTTAGCCTAATATAGGAGTCAGCAAATGTTTTCTGTGAAGGGCCAGATAATACATATTTTAGGCCTGTGGGCCACAGAGTCTCTGTTGCAACTAAACTCCAGTGGTGTACTGGAGAGCAGCCATAGCCAATATGTAAACAAACGGGTGTGACTCTGCTCCAATAAAACTTTATTCATGAAAACAGATGGGCAGAAAATTTGGCCCATGGGGCATATTTGCTGACCTCTGGTCTAAGGTAATTTTTCAAATTCAGCTCCACCATTAGTCATTTAAACTTGAATGAAGCAGAGACACACTAGAAGCTAGTTACCAACTGAATTTTATTTCCATTTTAACTAGTACATTATCCTTGGTCTTAGAAAAAAGCTCTACGAATTTTAGGTGTTTCTGAAATACAAGCCCATGAATATATTTCAGGCCAAGCAATTCAGGGAGATTTTTATTCACAAAGTACATTCCTTACAGTTTCAAATAAAGTCTAATGAACTAAATAGCCACTAGAAGCTCAGAAATTATTAGAATGGACTCTAGCTAAAAAACCAATACCAATCTTTTAAAATCAGTAAACAAAAATAAAATGCCATTAGATATTTACTTATATACTTGTAGCTTACAGGTCTGTGAATATCCTGTCTTCTGCCAAAGTGGAAACTATTATGCCCACCCACAATTAAGAGTAAGGTTTTCATATTCTTTACCTTGATTATGAATAGAACCTTTCCCTTTTTAATAACTTAATTTATTGGCTTTTTAATATAAATTTCAATGACTGAATCCCAAATAAAAATATATTTACCAACAGTAAATGCAATTCTGTTTACATCTCAGTTTTTACATTTTTAGCCTTTGGAAAAACTTAAAAAGCAGATACGGTAAACGATTTCTTAAAGGACCCTTTTGTTTTAAGCTGATAATAATCACTTCAAGCTTTAAAACAAAACTAATCACACCTCAAAATTTCCTGGGCTCCTAATAGATCAATACCAGTCTCAATCTAAAAGACTTAAAAATCTAATTGTATTACTTTATAATCAAAAAGACTGATCTATTTCCTAACAAATGGTAAGCTACCAAATAATTTTACAGAATCTCATTTTCTTGTGTCTCTTCCCTGTTTTAAATCTTTTAAAATGTTATCTGAGAATTCTTTTAGTTTAGAATTATAGTTTTTGTTTAGCTTACATGCTGAAAATTCTGACAATTTAAAAAAAATCTACAATTAGTGCAAAAAACGGAGACAATATTTGAAGTCATTCCTTCCCACTATAAATAGAACAAGGTTGCTAAATGTCAAATTTTATGTAACTATATAATTTCCTACTTTGCTTTCTGAAAGATAGATATAAAAATAGTTTAACATTAGGATTAATGTTTATAGCACATGTATTATTAGCTTTAACTGCAAAAATATTTTCGCCACCTTTAGAAAAAAAAAATTTACTAAGACTATAACTGCATATTTCTAAAGGCTGGATGCAAGAATACTGATTATTTTCCTTATAGGAAGAATACATGCCATAAAACATATGAGACAGTCACATTGTAGGAATAAATACATTTTAAAAATACTGGTTAATCTGTGGGGAATTCTGCATTTGCCTATTTAACAAAATTTCATCCATCTTGTAAGGCTTTGGTATAGGTGACTCCCAGCATTTCCATCACTTATCTTTCTTCTTTGCCTCATTCTTCTTTACTTCCTCTGTATGCTCGTCCTTCTCTCCTCTCATGTTTCTATTTGCTGCTGCTCCTTGAATTTCCCCCTGAGAATTATCAACTATGTGATATTCCTCAAGGAGTGTGTGTCCTGTCTGTTTTGCAGTTTTCTTCACCATTGCTTTGATACCAATGTTGTTAATATTATAGGCAGTTACACCAACATTAACAGCAGAATCCACTGCATCGTGTGTAACTTCTCCTGCATTATGCCCGTATCTTTAAAAGAAAAATTTTGGAAAGTACAATGAAATTATAAATATAAGTTAAGGTCTTCTGAATTAGCATTAAATAAGTCATATAATTTACTTAGGTATCCCTGAAAGCAAAATCAAAGCTTAGGTTTCAATTTAATTAATAGCTTAAAACATAGTAGAGAATGAAATCACACTGTAACAAATATGTATTTTCTCCTTCAGTAAAAATAGCATGTGAAAATAAACTTAGACTAGCTGAGAATAATGTAATAAAGATGGTTGAATAAGAATAAAATAAATTATAATAAAGGTTGTTAATCAGTCATTCTTTTTATTTTTATCCCCCCCTTCTAGAAATAAAAAGGGAAAATTTTCACTGAAGCAACTATAGGACACAAAGAATTCTGAGTCATTAAAATGGTTTTGAGTTCTTCCTTAACTAGACTTTAGTTAGGTCTTAAGCTCTGGGAGTCTGAATTTGTCATTATGGAGATATTCTATGACATTCTATCCGATATCCCACTCTACTGCAGGCTCGCTGGCCTGCTTGCTGTTCCTTGAATTCACCAAGCACATGAAGGCCTTAGGACTTCTGTACTGGCTGGTCTCCGCCTGGACTTCCCATGGCTCACTGCCTCAAGCTGGCTCAACTTTTATCTTCTTCAAGTAGGATCAACTATTATCTTCTCGGTAACTAATGTGTTGAAATTGCCTTATCCCATACATCCCACCCCACTGCCAATCAATCCCCCCTTAAACTGTTCTTTCTTCTTCCATAAGTTATCACCTTCTACATACTATAGAACTTGTTAATAATCATTGTTTATGTCTCACTTATTGTTTGTTTCATTAGAATATAAACCTCATTGGAGAAAAGAATATTTGCTTTCTTGGTTAATATATTCTAAGCATCTAGAACAGTGCCTGACATTCAATAAATAGTTATTGAATGAATCAAATGAGTAATGCCCTGTCCATCTCAGAGTTTCTTAAGCATCAGGTATATAGCAAAATGTTTGGGAAATTATAAAGCCCATACAAAAGTAGTTATTATTCACAATCATGATAACTGAGTTTAATACCATTTCTATGAGAAAATACAACTTGAGGTCCTATACAAGGATATTAAGACATATCTTCCCACTACTTTGTTTTACTCTTTATCCCTTTTCTGGCACCAGGCTTTTAAAGCTTTTCTTGCCCACAGGTTTCCACAAGGAGAGGACTGCTTAAACAACAACAACAAAAAGACAAAATATTACATCTTCTCTAAGACACACTGAAGTTTCCCAGGTGCTTTGTGACCTATACCTAGAAATTTTATCCGACAGATTTGTCCTCTATCACTATTAGTCTGGCCTAGAACAGTGGTTTTTGATACTACTGGCTTGTTTGTGCTTGGCTTTTTCAACCCAGGTGCTACAAGTGTGAATGATGATTCCATTCTGTCCTTTGCTGAATGTTGATAATTATATCAGAGCCAACACATGGCAAAACCGATAGTCTGACAAACCTTAAGACTCTACTATTCTTGACTGGGGACTTCCATACCAGTCACCAGACAGAAAAGCTCCCTATAACTGCTTTCTGCCAGTTCCTGTTGCTTTGCAACCCCTGAGCATTCCACAGGATTTGCAGATGGCACAGAAGACAGGGGGCCTTCTCACAGTCATCCAAGCCCCAGTCATAAATACTACTGTCAGAATAAAGGATCAGGAAACCACACTATAAACAGAACTGTTAAATGAACTGAGGGTACTGAGAAGTCAAGAAAGAACATGTGATGGGCGTAATGACAGTGTTTAAATATTTTTAGATACCACGTAGAAAAGAGAAGACTGATTCTACACAATTCCTGAATAGACGTTACACAGAACTGGTTTTGGGTAACATGACATCTGCCATTGGAGATACCCCTTCACTAAGTGCAAATATAAGGGAAATTTTAACTAAATTTCATTTAAACTGATAAAATACTGTGCCATGAAACGGTAAATTCCTTGCAGGAAAATATTTATTAAACTTGTTTTCCACAAATATATATTTGAAGATAAAATATTGCTAGGGGAAAATAAAAATAGATCTAACTTGCTAAATTATATTATTCTTCCTTAAACAATTCAAAGAAGAACAAAAGGAGCTTAAAGGTAAAACTCAGAAACTATGTAGAAGAGTGATAAATTATTTAACAGGTGCTATCTCGTAGGTTACTGTGGTAGGTTTAAAGTCACTATTGCTTTTCACTGTTCTTGCAAGTCTTCATGTAACTCACAAAAATAAATGGATTCTTAATGAATAGTTCCTATACATTTACCTAAAAATATTAAGAATGTAGTTAATCCTCTGTATTGGCTTATATCCCAGAAATCAGATAAGAAAGTTTATATAATACATTTGTTTTTCTCCTAGGCATAATGCATATAATTAAGGCAGATTTAAAGCAACTACTTGGGAGAGTAATAATTTTTCACAGGTAATAAGCATATAAGTTTTCTTTATTATACTATCATCAGTTGAATTGCAGTAGAACAATACAAATGCTTGTTCTATAAAATACTTTTTTTTTGTCCTTTTTGAGACCGGCTGCACCGCGCTCAGCCAGTGAGCGCTGTGAGCGCACTGGTCATCCCTATATAGGATCCGAACCCGCGGTGGGAGCGCTGCTGTGCTCCAAGCGCCGCACTCTCCCGGGTGCGCTACGGGCTCAGCCCTACAAAATACTTTTTGATAGTGTGATAAATGTAATGAAATAAGGATATAAATAAATATAAATTTATGTAAATAAATGAGAACTAAATTAGACAAAGGGACAACTAACTCTTCTATTTCTTCAGTTCTGTCACTAAGTTATTACTGGTTCAATACTTTTTGTTTCTTCTCTTAAATGACACTTTCTACTTCTAGGCCAGATTATCCCTAGAGGTGGGAAAACAGTATTACTTGCATAAAACCTTTCACTGCCTCTCCCATCTTTCCAACTTTCTAATAGCAGAAACTAAATTATTGCTAAGATTAAATCATCCCCATAGTTAGAAATAAAAAGCTACATAACTAAATTCTCACTTATTTGCTTAATTTTTTTCCTACACAAATCTTTGATGAAGAAAAGGATAAAAAGAGCAATATATACCATAATAGAAATAAATCACCTCAGAACTACTGTCAAAATATCCTATTCCTCATAAGTTCTATTCACTAAGGACCAGAAATACAAAATCTATCCCCAAACCCAGTATTGTCTAGTTATGTGAATTTCAAACTTTTAATAAGTTGATTATACTTAGGTAAGCATTTTTTCCATTATAGCAATATATGGACAAAACCAACAAAGCACCACCTACTTTCTAATATGACTAATTATCTGTGCTAACAAATGATAATGATACTCTAATTCCCTTTTGGCCTAAAAGGTACTTCTGACTTTCTCCTGCTCTTGCTATAAAAGAAACTATTTTTCTAATTATGACTGAGCCATAAAAGTAACCTCAGGGACATAAAAAAATTAATGAATATTAGTCAGATGTCAATGCCACAAGTAGCAAGAGGTGAGCTGAAAGACTTGTTTTACATTCTATCAAAAGAATTTCAGATCTACTCTTTTTTTTTTTTTTCCCAACTTTTTGGTAAAGTTGACACTCCAAGATGATATGCCATGTTGCTTTGATTCAAAAGTATACACACCCCAGAACAAGCAGATCAAACCAATTTAGGATGGAAATTAAGTTAGTATTTCCTAAGCCAAAGGTGGGAGAAATCTAAAAACATGTTAGCGTTGAAAAATAACTCTAGAGTATTAAGTTTGCACAAATTACCCAACAACGGCAGTGTGGCCCAGCACTGTCCTCTGTACTACAGAGCACAGGTTCTGATGACAAAACCCAGCTCCACTACTAGGAGTGTAACCTTTAACAAGGTATTTAACTCTCTATGCTTTGGTTTTCTCAACTGTAAAATGGAGATAATAACAGCATTAAAAATTAAATAATACATATGAAAGACACAACACAGTACCCGATACGTAAGTATAAAGGCAAATGTCAATGAGTGGATAATTAACACAATTAACCAAGTGTTGCAAACACCATTAATATCACTCTTCTTTTCTCTCTAAATAAACAGTAAGGTCCAAACTATTTCAAAGCTAAGAAGGCAACTCAGGTCCTTTGTGCTATAATTTTTAGACCTTGACTCCTGTAGTACTGTATAAAGACAGTATTGTCAGGTAGAAACTATAAAGAGCTAAAGGCAGAAAATCTTGCTTTAAATCTCATCTTTAACACCACCTGTCATAAATTTGTTTAATATAGTTGCTGACTCAGCACCCACTTTTAGGCCTGAAACTCAGTTGCATCCTTTGGCCTAAACCTCCCCTCCCTGTGTGGTTTGTGATATGCCCACTTGTTTCTCATCTCATTAACCCAAAACTCAACACACTCCACAGCTGCTGACCACAATAAAACCAATGATCAACATCAGAGTCATGTAAATAAGTTCCCCCCTTCATGTTTTTTTTAAACTAGCCAATCCACAGCTCCCACTGGAAAGCCAAGGGGATAACGCCCTTAGACTGTAATAAAGGCACAGTCTTACAGGTCTCCTCTCCCTCTCTTGCACATGTGTTCTCTCTTCTCTCACTCCCCACCCACTGGTTGAGCACCCTGCTGTCTCTGGGCTTTCCATTGGCCCTCATGGATACCCCATTTCTCTTGCAAATCTGTGAATAATAAAATGTTTCTGTTATTTCATGTGTTTTGTTGTGCTGCCTTCTCTGTGTCTCACCTGACCAACATATCCCAACCTAACTCTCCTCCCAGTCAGGGGTCTCCTAGAGAGTGGCTATCTTGGTAGGAATAAACTTGACACAGGTCAGACAAGAGCCACAAGGGCGTCTGCCTACAGAAACAAGAATCCTGGGAGAGGAAACCTGGTCATGGGTTGGACACATATGCATTAGACCATCTGCCAGGTAAAAGAAGTATCCTGTGAAAGATATACGATAACATCCATGACCACCTGCCCTGGAGCCCTGTCAGGGTAGGACTAGAATTTATAGACACTCTCCAGGGACAGCTCAAGGCCAAATTAGAAAAAAATCATAACACTACTTATCAGATGATCCTGTGCAAATCACTCATTTCTATCTTTGTCCATTTCTTAATACATGAAATAGGGCCAGCCCTGTGGCGCGCTCGGGAGAGTGTGGCGCTGGGAGCGCAGCGACGCTCCCACTGTGGGTTCGGATCCTATATGGGAATGGCCGGTGCGCTCATTGGCTGAGCGCGGTGTGGGCAACACCGCACCAAGGGTTGCAATCCCCTTACCGGTCACGAAAAAGACCAAAAAAAAAAAAAAAAAAAAAAAACATGAAATAGAAGACATACCATCTGTTCATTCCAACACAAATGAACAGTGGTAATTATAGTCAAATAAGTTTTGACTTTAGTCAAAAAAGACTTTAGTTTTAGTCTTTGTATACAGAACAAGCTAATATTAATAAGGGATACAACAGTTAATTACAATTCAAGATTTTTCAGGCAAACATCACCCATCAAGATCATGTAGTTAATAAGATAAATACGGAAATCCTAGCCTCCCCCCGCCTTTTTTTAAAAAAGATTAAACCTATTCTTTGCACTAACGATGAACAAATATTTATAGCAATTAGTACAAAGCAAAGTCACAAGACTTCTATTACTATACTAAAAATATTCTTCTCCCTTTTTAATAAATACTGAGTGGAAAAAATTTATCAGATACTTAAAAATAAGTACATTAATCATCTTAACTTATGTCATACGGATTTATACAAATGCTGTAAGAGATTTAATTATTAAAATGATAAAAATCCAACTTACTTGTGTCTGACAGTTTGTACAGTTTCTGCTGAAACATTGTTAACAATGCATTTAGCAGCACATTCCAATCCCTGCCAGACAGTAGAAAACCCTGCAAACATATTTAAAAGTAAGTAAATCTAGCTCAAAGCAAACAGACCTCTCTAGTTAAAATTCTGGGCCCTTTTGTTACCTTGAACACTACTTGCTGCTATGACCATAGCACCATCCAGGGGAGACTTCCCATCTTTGTCTTTTTTAAGAGATTCTGGAACAAGTTTGCTTCCATGCTTCTTGACATGTGGAGCTAGTTCTTTTCCAACACAATTCGCTACAGTGCAAACTCCATCAACTAATATAACCATAAAGAAAGAAAACTTAGAAAAAAATGTATTCTTTCCCTTGATTTTACCATTCTTAACCTGCACAATTCCTAAATAAACATCTAAATAAAACTGTTTTACTGCACAATGTTACCATTTCTACTTAAGGATGAGAAGCTAGTTTGGTTATTTTTCAAACAAAGGCTATTTACTGTTTAGTTTAATGATGTGTTTGCAGAGTCTACTGATATTTATAACCTTGCCTCTTACATATACATAGTTTTTTCAACACTTCAGCTTAAAAGAAAAATTTCTTAAAAGAAAAATTCCACCTTTTCTATCTGACTACTGCAATGCAGTAGATACACATTTAGCATTTTCCAGCTAAGTGTATTCGTATTTTTTTCTGTCAGCAAATCTCTCAGTGAAATAAAACGTGTTTAAGTCTATAAAAGTAAACAACCCAAAACTGATTCAAAAGAATACTAAATACCAAAAAAGATAATCTCACTAGATTTAACAGTAATCCATTAAGGACTTTTCTGACTATCTTAAAACATCAAACTTTAGGGTTTTCTGACTATCTTAAAACATCAAACTTTAGGGGCCGGCCCGGTGGCGCACTGCTACAGTGCACTGCTTGGGAGCGCGGCGGCGCTCCTGCCGAGGGTTCGGATCCCACATACAGACCGGCTGCTCACTGGCTGAGTGAGGTGCGGGCGCAACACTGAGGGTTGCGATCCCGTTGCCGGTCCCGGTCCGGTACGGGCGCGACACTGAGGGTTGCGATCCATTGCCGGTCACAAAACAAGACAAAAAAAAAAAAAAACATCAAACTTTAGTGCTGTGATTCTCAAAGGACATGGGATTAGAAGTCCATTGCTTGGGCAGACTGGCACCAGAATCATTAAGTCAGCTTTTCTCAAATGATAGGAGTACATCCCTTTCTCTTGACCCTCAACTACTAAGCAATGAACTGCTGTCCTTAAAAGAGTCATATTCCTCAGGTACATTTAAGAATAGCAAATATATTCAGAACTCCTTTTCAAAGACATATACACTCTCCTCTCTAACATATCTAACACATTTAATCAGAGTTTTTCAAACTTTAATACACAAATAAGAATCACTTAGGAACCCTTTAAAAATGCCGATTCTGAATCAGTAGGTATGCCTGCTACCTGAAATTCTGCATTTCTAAGGATTCCAGGTACGCTGGTGCTGCTGGTCCATAAGTCCCACTATGAGTAGTAAGGTGAAACTGCTTTGTCCTAATTCTTTATTCTTGAGATTAAACCATCTAAATGAACATTTAGATTAACCTTGAATTATAAGATTATTTTTAATTTAACTAAAAAGAAGTCATCTAAAATTACTTTACCCAGGAACTGACTGACTTTTGCTGCTCCTCCTGTAGCCTGCTTCGCTATATGAAGCCCTCTGGTGACAGCTGGGCTAACTTCCACTGGTTTTTCTTCTGGTTGAATCCGTTCTCGGAGTTTAGAAGCACCTTTCTGGATTGCTTTGCCAGTAAATTCAGCACCTTTGACTAAACCCCAACTCACCCAGGAAGCACCTATTTAAAGGAAAATTAAAAATTGCGTAATATTAGAGCCAATCATCCTTTAATAAATACTTGTAACATCAACAAGAAAAAATAAAAGGAGTTCGATATTCAGATCCCAAACAGGCCATGACATAAACATTCAAGCCAACTTGTAGGTATCTCTGTACATTATATGTTACTACAGTATACTATTATTAGGTACTAATTTTGAGTTTTGGTGCCATTAAGATAGTTATTTGGCTACAGGACACAGACATTCTTGTTCTTTTTGTCTCAGTCCAGGCACCACTTTCCCTCATGAAATCCTGAGGGAGAAGGACACAAACAGTGCAAATTGGAAACCAAAAAACCTGTATCTCAATGCCAAGATAGAACTTGTGTTTGCTTTAGGCTAAAGGTATTAGGCATGGGGTCCTGTTCTTTCCTCAATCCTAAATCCAAACCTCTGCATTTCAGCAACTTTTAGCTTGTGACATAAACCCAAATGACAAAAACATGAGAATACCCAAAGAATGCACAAGAAGAGAAAACCTAAAAGAGAAGAGAGTGGCCTGGATGACTGAGCCAGTTCCCATGACAGTGGGCCCTAGCCCTTTATTTTGCTCATGCTTCTTGCAGCATGAATGAAAGAAGCAGTTGCCAGAGGAAAAGCAGGACGGCAGGACCTTCTCTAGTGAGGAGAAAAGGTCCTCAGCCAGTGGGCATGTGGGGAAAGAAAGAGTGGGAGAGAGATGAGAGAAGTAAGAAGATACACAAGAACAGTGTCCCCTAAGACAAGAAGGAAAGTGTTTCCCTCCTCTGTAGAGAGCTTACAGTTCAAAATATTTCCTTTTTGGCAAACGCTGAAACAATGAGCTTTTAAAGCTGGACATAAAAAATGCTAAGTATGTTTCTCAAGGCCCGTGGCATGGTTTTACATAATTACTCCAGCCCAGTAGTAAGCATCCAGCAATCATGTGAAAATCATAGCTGTTTTTTAGAATGTTAACAATGAAAAATGGCAAGTAATAACTAATTAGAAAATTTCATTGTTTCTCTTCCTATTTTAGTCAACACTTCCACCTCAAATCCAACCCTACTGTCCTACCCAGAAACCAACTTTGGAGAGAATCAGGTCTTAAACCCAAGTGGCAAACAGGCTCCCATAACAATAAAAGACTTGAAGATGTCCATCAAAGAAATTATGTGATTTTAGAGTTTATTAATTACAAGCTGAAAAGTTTAAAAAAATTAAAAACCAGCTGAAGTTTAGGAAGACTGAGAAATCATAAAATAAATGATAATGAAACAAAGGAGACTATAACACCACAATGAAAACTATAACAAACAAAAGTGATGGAGTCCATTGATGACTGAGAAAAATAAATGAAAATGAAATAAATTAAAAGTCATAGTACTAATAGAAATACTAGACATAAATAATCAACAAGATATCACCATGGGAGAACATAATACAGGTAAATATGTTAAAACTGCAGAGACTGCAACAGAAAGAAATGTAATATTTAATCTTTTAAATGGTAAGTGTAGTACCAGATATAGATTCTGTTCATGTTTGCATCCTATGCAACCAGTTAATACTGACAGATGGCAGACAATGAATGCTGAATAAATGAAAATTTGGCAGATAACTTTATCCAACTCAAACCTAACCACTACAGTTTGTGTAAGGAACATTGTCCACTTTCACTAAACTAAAGAAACCTAACATCTATACTTATTAAAAATAGGACACCCAAATCACAGCTTTCCCTCCTGATAAAAGGCTGGTTGAAATGGAAGAAGATATAGAACCTGACTTTTCTGACAAGTTTCAGTAAATTTATCTTAAGAAATATGAGTTTTAGAACATTGATCTTTTCATATTCTGTTTTTGATATTCTATATCTCTGGCTAACAGAGGGGGAAAATTGGCAGAACTAAGAGTGTACTGGCTACCACAACATGACCGCTATTGAATTCCCAATCATATGACATATATCTTATGATATTTGATTTGGTCCCCTAAAAATCTAGAAATGATTTATCTTAGCACATAATCACTGTGTAGAGGACTAGAAATCTTGATTCCTATTTGATTATTAGATAGGGTTTTTAGGTAATGCATGTATGGGACAAAAGTCCTTGGGTAGGGAGGCAAGAGCCTACAGCTCGGGGGCAAGAGCCCACCGAATCAATTCTAATAAAGTATATGTTGATTCTCAATTGATTTTTAGTATTGAGTTTTAGACAATGCATGTACAGGACAAAAGTTCTTGGATATGAGGCAAGAGCCGACAGTTAGGGGGCAAGAGCCCACCGAATCAACTCCAATCACTGTTTAGGTAAGGGACTGTATACACTGATTGTTAATATAATGGGTTCACTGGAAGATTTTATGAAAAGGAAACACACAGGTCTAAAGCCTTTAATGTGAACAAGAGAAGTGAAGCAAAACAGGGATTGTTCTGAAGGCAATAACTCATAATACAACAAAACTTAAATGATGGGAAAATATGTAAGTTAAGATTTCCAAGGATGTTCTGCTAGATTAGTCAGTACATGGGGGTTGTTCCACATTTTGCTTTAAAGCTGTTTGAGTTTCTCAAGAAGTCAGGCACTTTAATGATTATCTTACTGTTTCTTTTGCATGTCACACAGCTTAGATTTATGACTCTTTTGATGGTATATTGTTTAAACTATTTTGAACCATGCATGCTTGGATGAAGATTGTTACATAGCCAATTTCTTTATGTTCTTACTATGACTGATTAACCATCTGTTTTTTTTCCTGTAACTTCCTTGTCTTTACAATAAAAACTGAAAGCAAAAACTGACTCAGGGCCGAACCCAGTTTCTCCTTCTAACAGAGGAGTTGCTGAAGTACAGTCCCTTCAGGCTTCTCATTACATTCACATTGCTTTGAGTAATCTTTTCTGAGTCTCTGTTACACAGTGAGAGGTGTAACAACTCTGTACCCAAAGTATAAGTTACTTGACTATATGATTGCTCTTTGATGATATTTTGTTAATTCTATATATCTTGGTATTAGAATAAAGATCTCTGTGGACCTGACAGCCAAAAGACTGTTCTACAAAGAATCCTACAAAGAATGTGGTCCTACAAAGAATCTATTAAAGAATAGGAGTGCTTTTTTGTTGTTGCTTTTTTTTTTTTGTGACCAGTAAGGGGATCGGAACCCTTGGCTTGGTGTCGTCCGCACCGCACTCAGCCAGTGAGCGCACTGGCCATCCCTATATAGGATCCGAACCTGCGGCCTCGGCGCTCCCAGCACCGCTGCGCTCCCAGCGCCACACTCTCCCGAGTGAGCCACCGGTTCGGCCCTAGGAGTGCTTTTTTGTGGCTACTTTTTAACAGACTAAATTAAACAAAATGGAAAATTCCTTGTCAGAGCCTAGAAGCACAGAATGGTAGTAAAAAACAATCTTGGAGAAACCTTATGGGTGTATCATACTTGCACTATCAGCCCTCCTGCTTACAACCAGCCATAGGATGATGTGTTGGAATGGGTGGGCAGAAAGTGATCACTCCCTGGGCCGGCCCGGTGGCGCACTGCTACAGTGCGCCGCTTGGGAAGTGTGGTGGCGCTCCCGCCGAGGGTTCGGATCCCACATACAGACCGGCCGCTCACTGGCTGAGCGAGGTGCGGGAGCAACACCGAGGGTTGCGATCCCGTAGCCGGTCCCGGTCCGGTACGGGCGCGACACTGAGGGTTGCAATCCGTTGCCGGGCACGAAAAAAGACAAAAAGGAAAAAAAAAAAAAAAGAAAGTGATCACTCCCCCTGACTCCACACTGACTGTCTGCATAGAGTCCCAGAGTCCTTATTAAATTGGGAAGATTAGGGGATAGAGAAGGTACATTCAAATGCCCTTGATGATCTTTTGCTATCTCACAACTTCTAAAACCTTTGCTTCTCTCATTTATATCGGTTCATTAAAAAGCACAATCTAAATATGGCATCCCAAGAACATTTTATTCTTTCAGAATTGTTTAAGGTAGGCTGCTCCAGAAGTGGGTTACAATCAGTCTATAATCACCAACTCTCTATCTCCTCCCAAATTAGCTTACTAAGCCCTACTGCATCTAAAATGTATGGCAGCTACTTTCTTAAAGTGTAAGTCTAGGCTTCTCAAGCTGATATACAAGACAGGTAAATTTTAAGCACAATTATTTCACTTTTTTCACATTTTATGTTTGTAAAACCTATGACTAGCTTTTACTGATTTTTATTCATCCTTTGAGAGTGGAAAAGAACCAATCATGGGCTAAGGAGAATGAGCTCAATTTAGATCCCTGGTTACTCACTTTTGTACAGAGGCTGCATGAGGTACAAATAGTCTCTTGACAGACCAGATAATTTTCCCTGGAGTAAATCTTGAATATTTTCTGCCCCTTTCTTTTTTACTTGTACCTTAAATATTTGGTGAGCTAGTTAATATTCATTCTATTAAAAAGCACATAAAGAGATATTACTCTGATAAGCAAGTAAATGGTTTTATGGTCACCAAGTATGACGGATATTATCAGAACTTTAGTCCTGAAAGCACAGTATGAAGAGTTACTGGCATAAAGTCACAGGTAGTGAAGAAGTGTTACTAGAATGTAGTTTTTACTCATTTTTAAATGATGCAATGCTAAGAGTTCTTCTGAAATCTCTACAGGCCTCTTCCCAGGATTAGCTGGCTTTAAGGACGCTCTAACTCTTCCAGTAGAACCACTATGTGGAACCTGTGTGGTATGCAGGAGGCCTAAGACTTTGTGGGAAGTGATACTTTCTAAGGATGTGCAAAAATAATATCTTCTATTCCAAATGTTTTCTTTCAACACAACTCTGACATTCCTCCCCCTGAGAAGTTGAATCTATGTCACATCTCCTAAACTCTGGGCAGGATTATTACTTGTTTGTAACCAAATGATGCTGGAAATTTCCAAGACTATGTCAGAAAAGGTAATGCAGCTTCTGCCTGTTTGCTGGACGATTCATGCTTGAAGCCCTGAGTCACCATGCAGAAGCCAGTCAACCCTAAGGCTACCATGCTGTGAGGAAGTCAAGATGAGAGGCCATGTGTTGGCACGCTATTCAACAGACTCTGAGCTCTCCACCCAGATGCCAGAGATGTAAGTCAAGAAGAAGCTTTTAGATCATTCCAGTCCCCAGCTGTTGAATCACCAGTCAGCCGCTGAGTCTTCCTTAGACATCATGAAGCAGACACAAGCCATCCCTACTGATTTTTCCAAATAGCTGGCCCACAGAACTCCTAAGCAGAAACAAATATTTGCTGTTTCATGCTTTCAAGTTTGGGGTGGTTTGTTACACAGCAATACTAAACGGAACAAACTTAAACCAGTATCAACTCAAAAAAGTTGGGAAAATGACCATTTAATCTAGTTTTCTACATGTGTGGGTAACAGGCAAGTTTTCTGAATACCGACTTCCTAGTAATGCTTAGCAGCTTGTAAAGTTAGGGGGCAGAGTAGTAAGAATGAAGAGGATTTTCTTCTCAATTTCTTTGAAAATTGTTTTTAAGGGTCAATTTTCACTATAGTCATACATTACTTAACGACAAGGATACACTCTGGGAAGTGTGTTAAGTGATTTCATCGTGTGTGAACATTGTACAGTGCACTTACACAAACCTAGATGGCATAGCCTACTATACACCTAGGCTATATGGTATAGTCTGTTGCTCCAACCACCATCACATAAACAGCCTGTTGGTGATCAAAATGTCATTAGGCAGCGCATGGCTGTATTGCACTTATATTTGAAAATTTGGCTTTATCTTTTCTTCTTGTGTCAAGCACAGTTCTTTGACACTGGGAAAATATTTTATTAGCTCCTAGACAATCAGCCATTTTAGCTTGTTGGTTTTTTATGCTGAAGATTTCCTCTGCTTTAAATACCTTTACTATTTTAGTGGGTTTTTAGTACAGAGATGAAATCTGAATTGAGAGTCATTTAAATGCTTAAATGACAGGTCAAGACCCATTACTGGGTCATGAGTTTGACTTATTGAATGGTGATTGGCAAAATTTTTAAATAAAACAAGATAAAAAGTATAAATCAGAGAAATACTACAGTTGAAAAGCTAAGTAACCAACTGAAGCAGAAAGACATGTAAGCAATGATCGTTCTGGTTTTAGAATAATCTATCTGAGCCCTCTCTAACCACAATTAAATAGCAGGGTCTATCTTCCCAAACAGGTAGGCCACCACCCTCAGATCTTCTCAGCTTGCACTGCTTTATGGTTATGGAGGGCTGCTTTGTTTCCAAAGATAGATGAACATCTCATTTTTTTCATGGGTGCCTTAGACCGTTCAAGTTGCTATAACAAAATACCATAAACTGGTGGCTTATAAATAACAGAAATTTATTTCTCACAGTTCTGGAGGCTGGGAAGCCCAAGACCAAGGTGCTGGCAGATTAGCTGTTTGATGAGGTACAATTTCCTGGTTCACAGATGGTGCCTTCTTGCTGTGCCCTCATATAATGGAAGGGGCAAAGCAGTGTTCTGGGGCGATTAATCCCATTCATTAGGGCTCCTCCCTCATGACGTATTACCTCCCAAAGTCCCAACCTCTTAATACCATCACCTTGGTGTTAGGACTTCAACATATGAATTTTGGGGGCTACAAAGATTCAGACCACAGCAGTGGGGCAGGAGGGAAGGGAAGGATTAAGAGGGAATTTCAAAGGGGAAAGGAAAGTAATTCATTTTATGTTCAGAGCTATTATGAGAGGAGTTTGGGGTTCCTAAAGCTTTTCACTACCAATTTTCCCAGGAGTAAAACAGAGAATAAGCCAGTAAGAATTTATGACATATGTGATGTTCTAGGAGATTAGTTCCTTCTACTTTTGTTTAAGTATTTTTAAATTGATTATTTAAAACCAAAATATGGGCCGGCCCCGTGGCTCACTTGGGAAAGTGCGGCACTGGTAGCGCCGAGGCCGTGGGTTCGGATCCTACATAGGGATGGCCAGTGCGCTCACTGGCTGAGCATGGTGCAGACAACACCGTGCCGAGGGTTGCAATCCCCTTACCGGTTAAAAAAATATATCTTTCTAAGTATTCTCTTATAAATAATACCTTTACTGAGTTCCAAAAGTTTCATATTACGGGGGGAGGGGGAATGAACATTACTGTAATACCTGACAAAATGTTCTGAGCCACTTTCTCACTCCATTCAGGTAATTCTCTTGCTTTTTCTTCTGAAACTGGCTCACAAGGTACAATGTCACTCAGGTTAACTTCTTCACTTGAAGTTCCTTTAGTCTAAATGGTGAAAATGTTTCAAAATGAAAAAGAGTAAAGACTAAGAAGGGGAAAAACTATAAGCATTGGGTAATAAAATATTAAACCAACAAATACTAGATATAATTAATGAAATATCTCTAGCCAACCTAGTAACTGGTATGTCTTACAAAGCACAACACCAGAACTGCCATGCAGCTGAAAACTGTTCTAGTCTTATTTATAAGCCCCCATTGGTAAGATTTAAATACCAACCCAACTCTAATATAGCATTTACCAACTCATATTTAAACTAACTTTTTTCCTTCCTTAACTAGACTATGAGTTCCTTCATACAGATATCATCCATAGTTATTAGTATGCACATGGTACTCAGTAAAGTTGAAAGATTTCTGTTAAATGACTCTATCAGTGAGAAAGGAAGTATCCAAATAAACTGACTTTGATAGGACATCAAGTAAACTTTTAATTTAAAATAAGTAAGAATATATAAACATATAACTACCTGCCATTGCATTTAAATGGAAATGGGGAATACAGACATACTTGCACAGCACTATGCTAATTTAACTACTTACTATTTAGCTACTATGAGAGTTAGGGCCAACACTCAAAATCTTAAAGCTAAATTCTTTATTCTAAAAACTTATGAGCAGGCTAACTCAGACCTCATAGTATAGTAAAATAACTTGAAAATCAAAGTGTCCAACAAAAATACAAAGAACTTCACTTAAAATATGAAAAACAACAACGAAAAACAAACCAAGAGCTTCTATGTGGGGAGAAAAGCCACTCATAAGTAAAATCAAACTGGGCAAAATATTTGCAACTTGTATCTTTGACAATGAGCCAATATCTCTAATACATAAAGAGCTCTTGGAAACTGAAAAAGACTAAAAACGTATTAATAAAAATGGACAAAGAACATGAATGGACAATCCACAGAACACAAAATTCAAGGGACCCTTAAGCATAGACACCTCACTCAAAATGAAATCAATGCAAGTTAAGATATTTTAATATACCATTTTCTCATTTTTCAGGCTGCCAAAATACAGAGAAACTGACCACCCATTCTGTTGACCAGGTAAAGGGAAGCAGGTACTCTCATATACTGCTGGTGGGAGTGCTGGATAGTATAATCCCTAGGGAGGGCAATTTAGCAAAATCTATCAAAATTACAAAAGCACTTATCTTTTGACTCAGTAATCCCATTTTTGGAATATATCTGATTATCTACGCATGTATGAATCAACAAATCTACAAAGACATTCACACTGAAGTATTATTTGTAATACAAAAAAAAAAAAAAAATTGGAATCATGCTAAGTACCCCTCAATAAGAAACTATGACATATCCACAGAATGAAATACTGGGTAGTTGTAAAAAAGATTGAGGAAGTTCTCTATAAAATATATTAATATAAATATACGAAAAAATACAAGACACTCCATATAGTATGTTATCTTTTACATAAAAAAGGGAAAAAAATAATAACAGTTTATATTTACTTTCATCTGCCTCAAGAAACCCAGGAAAGATACACAAGATCCTAGCAAAAGAGATCACCTATGGTGGCAGGGAGAATGGTGTGAATAGGAACAAAGTTGGGAGTAAAACTTTTCATTGTGTATATCTTTTAATATCATTTGATTTTTTTTTTAACCAAGAAATTAAGTTTAAAAAAAAATAAATTCTAAATAATATGGAAGAATTTCCAGATATACTGAGTGAAAAAGCATGGAACAAAATAGTATGTTTTACATGCTACCATTTGTGTTAAAAATTGTACGCGTGTGTGTATATATGTTTGACTATGCATAAACATAGCTTGAAGGACAATAAGAAGCTAATAACAATGTGTCTGAAGAGGGGAGCTAGGTGGCTGGCAGACAGGAATGGGAGGCAGACTTACTTTTGACTCTATATCCTTTCTACCTTTTGAGAATTTGGTTTCTTGTGATTAACTTTATATTTCTTGGAACAATTTTGGACTCCCAATGTTCTCATAAATCTGGTCTAAGATGTTCAACACAAACCACAGCGACACTTTGGAAGTAAACGTAGAATGTTCATGTGATATTCATTAATTCCAAAGATAACTACTGAAAACTGATGATGTGAAATACAGCAATGAACAACACTGAACTGCCTGTAACATAATACTCAGGCAATGCTGTTTTCTTCATACATTTGCTTACACTACTACTTTTCTGCCTGGAATCCCTTTCAATTTGCTATTTGTATGACCAACTCTTTAACCAAGACTAATCTTAGCCAAAATATCCTCTAGGAGGCTCTTTACTGCTTCCCACACCACCCATCCACCAACCCTTATCTATTAGGCTAAGCTATATCCTTTATCTAATGATCACATTAGACAGAAATTACCTCTTTGCTAATCTGTCCTTTCCACTAGACAGTAAATTTCATGAGATTAGAAATTTAAACTTTTTTTTACCACATATACCCATCATTCTAGCACTCAATAAATATTTACTGAACTCTAAATCAAATTTGCCATATAGAGCATATTACATACTCAGAACCTAAGAAATGAAAGAAAAAAACTACTCAATATCTTTTAAAAATCCAAACCTCTGTCCTGTACCACATATACCCATCATTCTAGCACTCAATAAATATTTACTGAACTCTAAATCAAATTTGCCATATAGAGCATATTACATACTCAACCTAAGAAATGAAAGAAAAAAACTACTCAATATCTTTTAAAAATCCAAACCTCTGTCCTGTTGCCCATCCATGAAGAAACAGGGAACTGAATAAAAATGGTAGAGTATAAGAAAAAGGAGACAGTAGCATATCTAGCCCCAAGTTCTTGGTGAATATAAGAAGGTACAGAACAACAAATAAAAAAGCACATGTATCATTAATATAAGAATAAAATTTACAATATAAAATATAATGTATTACAAAAATCTTTCAAATATTTGGGAAAAAAATCTATCCCTCAAACACAGAATACCTTTTAAGACAGTTTTAGTAACAAACACTTGGAAAGGGAAACAGTAAAGCTGATTGTAATTGTTTTTGCCAGTAATCACTTTGTGACTCTGCACAAGTTCCTGTGCTTTAGTAAATGGGGACACAATCATATAAATTACATGAAAAAGTACCATCAAAAGAGAACACACACACCTTACCTTATTGCTCCTTTATTTACCTTTTTTCCACGTTTTCCTTTACGACGCACATCCTTCTTGCCTTGGTCCAATGAAGGACCCAACTGTCTCATGTCAGTGCCAGAGGCTTCCTTCAATTGGTCGGAGGAGTGTCTTGTTCTTCCAGGGATTTGGAATTCATTTTCTCCTTCTGCCCTGTTCCAGTCAGTCTAGGGAGTAAAGGAATAACCTTAGCTCAAATCAGAATTTTTTTAGATGGCTTTCTTCTAGCCACATTACAGCATGCTCTAATGATATACATGTTCAAATGTCAGTGTTTGACAGTCTATAAATAAATACTTTTACTTTTCTTTTCTCTATACTGTGCTTTTATCTCATCATCAACAAACCTCTGAGTTCTTTGGTTCATAGCACATGACCTAAAGTAAATTTCAAAAGACAAAGTATAAAAGATAACTTAAAGCAGTTGTTGGTATAGCTCTAAATCAGACGCAGCTACATCTGAACTAAATAATGAATAACACATTTTAGGAAATACATATGAAACTAAAATGAGTTTAAAGGCAATTAATAAAACTCATATCCACTTTACTCTTCTTTGTTCGAAGGCTCATTTTGTTTTTGTTTTCAGTATTTAAAGGTATTTTGCTAGCACATACTTTACCAAATGAATATTTAAGAGTAAAAACAAGTCAAAATTATAGCTAGTAATTAGCTTTTGTTTATGGTTGAAGTTCTGCAACAATACAGCAAACTAAAAATAACAACCAAAAATATAAAATTGAACAGAGAAAATAAACATATAGCCTAAAACTCTGTTTAATTTCTTTCCTAAAGCCCAGTAATATAGGGCCAATGCATTTGGGGTGAAGAGAGAAACAGCTCCATATTAGGTTCTTGAATACTTAAGAGTATCACTTTGTTCGGTTAGTAAACAGCAAAGCCAAGATGAACCCAGATCCATTTGACTATGTTCCTGCCTTTGTAAACTTCTCCCAGTGAGCACACTGAGACTATACACTTCTGTATGGCAATCATGCGTTTTGTTAACATCACTTTAATAATTGTTGATTATGCTAAAGTATTGGCTTGTTGATCACCAGGTCATTCTCAGTTACTTGGCAACAGGGACTGTTATATATTTTACATATATATATTTATCTTTGTAGTCTCCTGTTCTCACACTCTTCCCATGCCATCATTTAACATCGTACCTTGTTAAATAATGGATTCCAAATACCTGCTGATTGAAAGAGAGAACAAAATATTATACTATAACGTTGTCAACCTCATTACCTCATTCAACCCCAGATAACTGTCAATATTCATAATAAAAAATATTTTTCCCTTTGCCATACAGCAGGATGAGCAAGAACACCTAAAGAATGCCTCTCCATAATATTCTATTTCAACTGCCTGTAACAAAGAAGCACGTGGACAAGGGAAAGAGGCTAAGTAAGGAAAGTTCACAGGATGATCATTCATATATATATATATGTGTGTGTTTGTGTGTGTGTGTGTGTATATATATATATACACACATATTTTAAAGATGACTGGTAAGGGGATCTTAACCCCTGACCTGGATGTGTGTGTTTGTGTGTGTGTATATATATATACACACATATTTTAAAGATGACTGGTAAGGGGATCTTAACCCCTGACCTGGTGGTGTCAGCACTACGCTCCCCAAACTGAGCCAACCGGCCACCCTATATAGGGGTCTGAACCCTTGGCCTTGGTGTTATCAGCACCACACTCTCCTAAGTTAGCCACGTGCCGGCCCAGGATGATCATATTTTAAATTATATTTTATTTTTCTTTATTTGGCCTCCATTTACCATGAGAACAAAGACAATTCTCTCAACTAAAACTTGCTTCTTTTTCAAAATGCCAATCTGTCCAATGAAACCCATCTGCTAAAGCTAAAATTACCTTCATTTCACCATTTAGTCCCACTAGTCCACTTTTCCAACCAAGCAGTAAAACAGTGGTGAAAACAAAACAGCTAACATTCACAGAGGATTACCACCTGCTGGCCCTGATATAACTGCTTTAGTGTACTGACTTTTAATCTTCAACACAGCCCAATGAGATGAACATTATTATTCCTATAAAGTACAGAGAAGATCAGTAACAGCTGAGTTAAACAGCTACGAGTGGAAGAGTTCGAATTCAAACCCAGGCAATTTGGCTCCAGAACCTAACATCTTAACAACTATTTACAGCAAATTCCCAACATGTAGTTGTGAACACACAGGCAAATTATATACTCTCAGTCTCCTAACTTTGATCACATTAGGGGTTATTATAATTTCTTTAAAAACAGAAGTGTTTATGTTAAAGTAGATTTTCATCCTAAAGGTGATCACACAAGTTACCTGGAGCCGAAGGTCAGACATTTGTCTTAACAGATCCTCAAAGAGTTCTCTATCATCTTCTGGTAACTCAGAGGACAAGACAACCCCCACAAAGCATCCTGCTGCTTGTAACATTGTATCAGGAAACATGTAGGCACCCACAGTACATTTCAGAACCGGAGATCTATCAGGAACTAGAGGATATAACCAGTCACAAACCTAAAAGAATTTGGTAGAAGGAAAAAAAAAATTCAATGCAACCAGATTTTCACCTAGGTTTTAATAAATTGTAATACTAGAAAATAAGCTTTACAAGGCTTTATAAAACTGTTAATATCAACAAATCCCCAATGAAAATCAATCATTTGCTTGTCTGATCTTCCTGCAATAAGAACTGTGCTAAAAATACTACTGCTCCAGCAATTATTAAAACTGATGACTTTAAATAGCCCAGTGTTAACCACTTATGATTGTAGCTTTAAATAAATAACAAAGTCAATTAAGTTTTTTTTATTATCCAAATTAGACATCCCTTTGTGGTAATAAACAGACAAACTCAAGCTGTTCTCAAGTACTACACATGTATTTACTGATTTAATCATCACAACAGTCCTATGAAATTGGTTAGTATTACTGTAATTTTATGTACAAGAAAATTGAGGCACAGAGAAGTCAATTAAGTTGCTCAGAGTAAACAACTAAAAAGTGGACCTGTGATTTGAGCACATGAAGTCTGGACCAGAGAAACCAAACAATTGTTTTAATTAGAAACCCAGTATACACAATGTGAAATAATTTTTTTTTAGTAAGCCCAAGAGAACCTGGCATGACAGAACTAGAATATATTAAGTTATGCTTATGAATTTACTATCTATTGTGAATTTAAAGCAAAATGACACAAAGCTTTCCTGCAATGTAATCTGGGGAGGTCTGCAGGTCAGTACACTCAGACTTAAGCTCACATCCTGGCTATCTAAATTCAAAAGAGACTAAGTTTAAATTGAAATTTCCAAATGTATTCATTTCTGAAGCGATATGTTCAGTAACTAAAACATAAAGTATGCCCATCACCCAGGACACTGTCCTATTATCAAGAAACTTGGGAAGCCAATCTGTTATCAAAATATTGTGTGATAAACATTAGTCAAAGAGCATGCGACTTCATATAGACAATGGAAAATTCTGATACACTACCATCATCTCTGACCAACAAAATATAAATGTGCAGGGAGGGACTGGAATGGTCAAATCTGATTCTTTCCTGGAAAGTACTTAATAAACATTTTCAAATTGTTTTTCTTTTACAGGTTCTCTTTTCTACTTGTTTCAAAAGCCACAATCTTTTATAAAAGTCAAACTTCAGACAGGTTACTGTAAAACCGATTACTATGTTTTCCAAAGTACAACATAAAAACCCTCTGCTATGTGAAATGACAGGTCAAGTAATTTACAAACTTAAAAACTGAGTAGTTATGTATTTTGATGTGTATTAGGGCAAATATATATCTTTTCCTTAATTTCACAATTGTTATCGTTTGGGATAGAATTAACAAATGAAGAAATTTAATAGAAATACTAAGTAATAGTAGGGGTATGTATTAAAAAAAAATTGTAAAGGTTATTCTAAAATGACTAAAGCTTGGAAAAGGTTTATTCTACTATTCCATGATTTCCTTAAGATAAACTATATTCTGGTCACCTTGATTGAACTGAAGTATCCCCAAGTCTTCTAAAAAACAGAAAAACTTAGACCTTTCTAAGGGTGGTTATTATAGATAGTTGAGCTCATTCACCATAGGCTGATTTCTCCCAGTTTTTCTCATGTCAAAGTTCCGTGTGAACTGACTACAGGTTTAACAGGTTTAAAAAGTTTATTAAAACTAAAACCAAAAGAAAAATAGTTTTTTGAAGTCCTAGAATTCCAAGGATGCCTACTTAAAACCAAATAATCTTACTCTAATTTCTTGAGTAGACCAATAGTGATTTTTATAGCATAGGAAATTACATCTGACTTCTTGGTTTGTTACTGTTTTTTAGTATAAAAACATTCAGTAAATAAGTATGATAACTCATTTTTAGGACACTCTGCTACAAATACATGAATACATGCAAATGAGAGCCTGTTAAAAAGACTCAAATTAAGTTTTGGGTGCAATTTTATTTATTTGAATTATTTTGGGTGCCTTTTCATTTAGGACCAAAAAAGGAGATATGAGAAAGATTAAAAACAAAATTAAAAGCACTAAGAAATTTTTACTAGAGTACAAGTCATTTTGATGATTGAGCTCATGTAACCAGGTACAGTGTTTCTGACGTTCACTTCCTATACCTCGAATTGTCCAGGTGTTAAGGACCCAATATATATATATATTTTTTGGCAGCTGGCCAGTAGAGGCATCCAAACCTTTGACCTTCCAATGATTTTGTAATTCTGTTGTTACAGTGCAACACCATTACCAGATCAGCAGAAATTCCCCCACCCCCACTTTAATCAATAAGCCTATTCTTAACCTTGAGGCTTCTTCCCTAAAATAACCCACAGGATTCACAATATTCTTCCTCTCCAGTAATGTACCTTTCCTTTCAGCAATGGTCCAAAGTATCCCATTCACACATTTCTAGTAAGCCTCTAATTGTCTTTAAATAACTTTCAAGTTGACTCCATGTAAAAGATGCATGAGAATCGAAAGTAGGGTATACCATAAGAGAAAATAAACAAATGCTGTAACTAAACCACATTATTTGGACTTTGGACAATAGTACCTCCTTTGCTTAAATGGTGATATTTCTTCATTGCAAACTCCTTTGTTATACGCAATGTTATACTCAATGTATACTGAATGTTTATTTCAAGTACTCATCTCCCCTGCCCACATCTACAACCAAAGTTTTAAAACCAGATCGTCACTGGACCACCACCTTCAGAATACCTCAGTAAATCCACAGCAATGCCCTGACACCACCCTTTACTTAGTACCAGTCTTTACTGCATCCTGTGTTCTCTGGACTATCTGCATTCTGGTAAATATATCTGCTTGGAATGTTGAAATTACATCTTAAATTACCAGTCTCTACTTGTAGACCAGGGTTTCTCAGCCTTAGCATGACTGAGATTTGGGGCTGGATAATTTTGTTGGTGATGGAGGCCGTTTTGTGTAGATGTTCAGCAGCATCCCTGGCCTCTACCCACAATGGCAGTAGTAACCACCCACCAGTTGTGACAACCAAAAATGTCTTAGACATTACCAAACCTTCCCTGGGGAGGGAAAATCACCCCTGGATGAGAACCACTGTTCTAGAGAATGGGCTGGATCTAGCCCAATTCAGACCCTCAGCTGGGTCTTGACAACATTTGTGGATATTATACATTCACATGAATTACATAAATTCCTTTTGAAATTAAAAGCGTTAGGTTTCTTCTTCAGATAAAGAATTAAAAAAATTTTTTTTTTTTTTTGTCTTTTTTCATGTCCGGCAACGGACTGCAACCCTCAGTGTTGCCCCCGTACCGGACCGGGACCGGCAACGGNTTTTTTTTTTTTTTTGTCTTTTTTCATGTCCGGCAATGGACCGCAACCCTCAGTGTTGCCCCCGTACCGGACCGGGACCGGCAACGGGATCGCAACCCTCGGTGCTGCGCCCGCCCCTCGCTCAGCCAGTGAGCGGGAACCGGTCTGTATGTGGAATCCGAACCCTCGGCGGGAGCGCCACTGTGCTCCCAAGCGGCGCACTGTAGCAGTGCGCCACCGGGCTGGCCCCAAGAATTAAAATTTAAGGATGAACACTCTGATCCCCCTCCATTCCTATCATCACAAACTTAATATCAAAACAAGACTTTATATCTTATAAAAAAAAAAAGACTACTGAACACAAACACAGACATTCAGGGTTCTGAAATTTTTTGGAACAGATTTAAAAAGGAAATAAAACCTGTAATTATCTTTTTGTACTTATTATCCTGGACAAATTATAAATATTAACAAATAAAATTGATGCCTTCTACACATATTTCAATTTAAGTTTACATTTTCCTTCAGCTTACCTGGAGAAATCCAGGAGGACGGTTTAGAACTGTATCAAGAGAATTATCCAAAAACCTCACAATTCGAAGGTACCCAGGATACGAGGGTGCACTAACCTCTCCTGCAGGATTTACAAAAAAAATCTGTACTCCATTTGGTATCAAAATCAACTCATCTGCATCTAGCCCTAAAGTCTCAAGAGGAGGTGGCTGAGAATGATTCCGATAAAAGTCCTCTCCAACTGAAGAAAACTCCCCAGAATCTGTTCCATAGGATACAGTGTAGTGACCCTCGGCAGCCTGAGGAGTATAAGCAGGAGGTGCTTCTGCTGGACAACTTTGAGATGGCAAGGACAGAGAAGTAGGTGTGGCAACCAACTCTGCACTTGCAGTTGAAGTGTTTTCATTTACTTCACCGTGCTGAGGTGGTGAACTAAAGGGCTGAGGCTCTGGTGACTTTTCGCACATGTCCTTAGGCGGAAATTCTGGATATAACTTGGGCACTTCCTGAAGATCATTCTGTAGAGAAGTGGCAAGACCCTTCTCTAGAATTTCCAACCTGGTACGTACATTCTGTAGCGTTTCTTTCATTTTCTGTTGCATCTGTCTAGCAGATTCCCACCCAGGGCCCGTGTGTTCAGGCTCTGTCGATGAAATGCTGATTCCTCTGAGCAGGTGTCCTATTCCTTGCTTATAGTAGTTCTTTGCTTCTTCCTTCTGACCTAATTCATCTGTATTCAGTCCTTTATTAACAAATAAAAAGGCTTTCTTGTATGCTTCCCTGATGATCTTAATTTCGGCACGTTCTCCATTTTCTGGCTCTTGCTCCATTTCTGCAAAACAGAAAACATCATCTTCAATTATCTTGTTTACCTATTTGTTTGCTTATTATCCATCTCTCCTACCTGAATATATTTCAAGAGGACAAGTGCCTTGCTTGTCTCTGTCTTGCTTGCTATTGTATTCCCTTAGTCTATTATTAGGACATACAGAAAGTACTCAATATGTATTTGGTAAATGAATGCTCTTGGTCCTAAAAATCTGGTTAGTTAAAAAAAGAGAAGAGAATAAATCAGAATACATCTATTAAATGATTTTCTTATTCCAGTTTCTTAAAATAAATAAGTTTCCTATATCAATCTTTGTGGTTGGAACAAGAGTCTCATCATAAAATTCATTATAACATAAATCCAGGTTATATCCAGCTAATAAAAGAACGAGTTGCATCACATATTAGAGGAGACAGAAATGAGAAAAAAAAAAAACCTGGATGAAACTTTAACATTACCTAAATTCCACTTAAAGGTGGAAGTTTACCCATAAGCAGTTAACCTTATTCCCTCTCAAAATGCCACTAAAATGACTCTAAAAAGATTATTTAGAAGGCATAACCATTTTTCTTAATGAGAAAAAGTCATGAATAGGCACTTCATAAAAGAGTATGTTTAAAATGTCATGTGCAAAAAAAAAAGTCACGTGAAAAGTTTCCATTTCAACAAACTACTCCCTCAGGAAAATGAAACTAAAATCAATAGTGATACCAACTTCTCAGATGGCTAAAATTTAAAAGACTGACCAGTGTTAGAGAAGACAACAACTTGAACACTTTGTTGGAGGAAGCTGAAAAATGGTACAGCAACTTTGGAAAACTGGCAATTTCTACCAAAGCTAAACATTTCACCCACCCACTCCACGACCCAGTAATTCCACTCACAAGGACATGCATGCCAAAAACACATACAGCAATATTCATAGCAGCTATATTCACAAAAGCCAAAAACTCAAAACAACCCAAATGCCCACTCACAGGAGAATGGATAAATAGTAGTATATTCATACAATGCAATAATATACAGAAAAAAAAAAGAAAAATCCTGGGCTGCCCTTTTAGCTCAGTTGGTTAGAGCGTAGCCTTATAACACCAAACCACAGTCATGTGTTCCCATCCCTGAACCCAGCCGTCCTCCAGAAAAATCCTGATGCCTACAAAGTGGATGAATCTCATCAATTCTTTGAACAAAAGAAGCCAGAAATGAAAGAACTTGTACTGAGACTACATACTATATGATTTACATAAGTTAACTGAAGAACAGGCAAAACTAGTCTATGATGACAGAAATCAAAATTCTGTAGTCCCTCCTTATCTGTAGTTTCAGTTACTGTGATCAACTGCAATCTGAAAATATCAAATGTAAAATTCCAGAAACAAACAATTTGTTAGTTTTAAGTTAAGCATCCTTCTAAGTAGCGTGGTAAAATCTTGTGTCATTCTGGGCCATCTCACTCCATCCCAGGATGTGAATCATCCCTTTGTCCAGCATGTCACTTAGCCATTTCGGTTATCAGACCAACTGTCATGGTATCACAGCGCTTATGTTCAAGTAACCCTTATTTTACTTAATAATGGCCTCAAAGCACAAGAGAACTGTGCCTAATTTATAAATTAAATTTTATCATAGGGTATATGTATATATAGCGAAAAACATCATATATCTAGGGTTCTGTACTATCCATGGTTTCCGGCACCCACTGGCGGTCTTGAAATGTATCCCCTGCGAATAAGGGGGGGACTACTGTAGTGCTTACAGGGAAAGGGTATATAGACTTGAAAAGAGCAGTAGGGAACCTTAGGGCCTTTGGAAATGCTCTCTCTCAATCTCTGGGTGATGACTGCATCTACGGGTTATACATATATAAATATCATTAGGCTATAAACTAAAATCAGGGTACTATATGCACTTTATGTTATCCCTCAATAAAACAGACAAATAATAAGGCCATATCTCACAAGGACAAAGAGGAAGGATCAAGAGTCAACAATACTTTGCTACCAAAAAAGGATGCAGATAAGGGGTAACTCCTAGAACAGACTTGAGAAAGCTGAAGCCTAAACTATCTAGTGGGGAAATCAATGAAGAAGCCTCATTTCTATCACATCACACAACGTCCAAAAGACACAGGAATTGATGGAATCCAATCTTCCTCTGGAAAGAGTAGGGGGAAAGCTGAAAAAAAAAAAAAAAAAAAAAAGACCAGCTGAAAAACCTGTTTAAAAGTTAGCACACTCAGATCTTTCCTGCACCAAGCACTCAAGACACTATTTCTCCCCAGCCCTGACAGAAGACTGGATTCTTTAATTTAGAAGAGTATAAAATAAAGTGGCTCTGGATGGGGGACTATCAGGCATGATTAAGGTTAAATATCAAAAGCAGGGTGATTAAATGAAATATCACTGAATACTGGGACCCTCAACCTTCTTCTCCACAACTTGGTTCTTAGAGTTCTGGCCAGCCACGTACCTCTCCAGAGAGAAGACTGGAATTGTCTTCTCTGGGGAATCTAATCACCGCCAAGCAGAAAGACCTAAAGATAGAGACACTGACAGTTCCCCAAGGAAAACTGTCCAGGCAATTCCTTTGAGAAGCCACGATTAATAGGATCTACCTCACAGAGTCTCAAATCAGCTTTCCAGTGCCTCATTCATTACACTTACAGACACACATACACACACAGAGACAGCCAAGGATCACAAAAAAGAGGAAAATATCTAAAATGAACAATAAAAATAAGAGCAATACAATTTGGTTGAAATGGACAATATGCAGGGAAAAAAAATTGTAAAAAAAACCTCTATAATTTAAAACATAAAGAAAATAGTGCACCCATAAAACAAAAACAGGATGCACACACACCCCAAAAAAGACATTCAAAGAACAAAAGGCACTTTTGGGAATTTAAATATATAAAATAGCCAGAAAGAAAAATTCAAGAGGAATGAAAAGTTTATAAAATTATGAAAAATGCCCAGAAAGCAGAGCAAAAGACAGAGATGGAAAATGGAAAAGAAGTGAGTTTCTTGTAGAAAGAATAAAAAAAAGTAAATAAAAAGGTAAAATTAAATTTTAAAGTAAGAAAAATAGGAAACGGATAAGAAAATGAGGACCCAATCTTTAAGGCCCACCATCTGAATAATAATATTTCCAGAAATAAAGAAGAAAGGGAGGGATGAAAGAATTGAAGACATAATTCCCAGAATTTCCCAGAATTGTAAAACACGAATTTCTAGATTTAAAAAGACCAATGTACAAAGGATGAAAAAAGACTCACACCACAGAACATATCGTGAAATTTCAGAACACTAGGATCAAAGGGATCATCTTAAAAGGACTTACACAAAAAATGAAAGAATTTCTAGATTTAAAAAGACCAATGTACAAAGGATGAAAAAAGACTCACACCACAGAACATATCGTGAAATTTCAGAACACTAGGATCAAAGGGATCATCTTAAAAGGACTTACACAAAAAATGAAAAATAAGATTGCTGAGAGAGTTTGGATGTGTTGTCCCCACCAAAACTCGTGGAAATTTGATCCCCAATGTGGCAGTACCGGAAACTGATTGAGACATGGGGGCAGATCCCTCATGAATGGATTAATGCTCTCCTTGGGGGAGGAAGTAGATGTTACAAGGAAATGGTACAATTAATTGATAATTCTTAATAAAAATAACTTCCAAATTCAGCCAAGTGTTTGCTCAGGTATTACATCCTCTGTTTGCTGGATTCCATGTTTGGTGAGAAGAATCCCAAGACTGATGAGGAGTTTCCAAGATCACAAAGATGCAAACCACTCCAGACTGGAGTAGGAGACAGAACTCCAGAAAAAATTTTCTCAAAAAACTAAAATTGATAGAATACCTGATGTGTTTCTAAGTTTTGAGAAAAGATCTGTACAACTGTGGGAGGATTCAGGGTTTAATTAGTAATAAATACACAGAAAACTAAGGAAATAAAAAATCAAGACAATTATTTTTTATTTTTATTTTTTAAAAAGGTGACCGGTAAAGGGATCTTAACTCTTGACTTGGTGTTGTCAGCACAACGCTCTCCCAAGTGAGCTAACCAGCCATCCCTTATATAGGGATCCAAACTCTTGGCCTTGGTGTTATCAGCACCACACTCTCCCAAGTGAGCCACTGGGCCGGGCCGGGCCAGTCCTTAGACAGTTATTAACTGCAGGGGAAACAAGATACTGAGCTACAAATAAAAAGTAATCAGTGTACTGCATGTTTCAGTTTTGATTAGTATCATAATATATACAATAAATCTTGATAAGAGCAAAATTTTGACACAACCATATTGAAAAGATGAGAAGATGGGTGGATAGAAAGTTACGTGCATGTGGTACAGGATGAAAGAACTCAAACTTCATCTTTCCTACAGGGAAGTTAATGGATAATGCCTAAAACTAAAAAATATAAAGTAGCAATATAAGCATACTGTCTAGGGATACAGAGAGAAAGACCAAAAAACTAGGTAAGAAAACTGAGACAAGCTGACTTTGGTACAAAGGCATGAGATTGGGGTGGAAGGATCTGATTTTCATTGAAGTCATATAAAAATACTTAATTCTTAAATCTGCGTGCACAATAAAAAAATGTAACGGAGGCTTTACAGCAGCACTGTCCAATAAAATTATAACGTGAGCCACATATGTAATTTTAAATTTTCTAATAACCACATTAAAAAAGGCAAAAAGAAACAGAATTAATTATGGCAATATATCTTATTTTGCCAAATACATCAAAAATATTATTTCTACATGTATCAACATAAAAACTATTAGTAAGATATATTGTCTTCAAAACCCAGTGTGTTTTACACTTAAAAAGCATACTTCAATTCCAACTAGCCCCATTCCAAGCGCTCAATACTCGCATGTGCCCAGTAGCTACAGTTATTGCACATTACAGTTTTAGAGATTCTTTTCTTGTGATCTTGAAACTGGGGGATAGACCCCAATTTTTCCTATCAGCTGGGGGAAGGGAGAAA